CGCAACGCCCGGTAATTCTACACTCTTCGTTGGAGCACGGCTTACATTAACAAAAAAGAAAGAGGAAAAAAATTGGCTTTCGGTATGCGAGCATCTCCCATGTCATCCCCTATCGACGTTATACATACATCGGGGATTAGAAGAAAAAAAAATAAAAACGCCCAATTTTTGGTCTTTTGCTTTTTTCATCATTTAATTTGAATAATAAGAATAATTAAAGAAGTTTTGTACCTATTTTCAAAATATTGAGAATTTAATGAAAATTGTATAGAATGTCCTTACATATGTTTAGAATCTTCAGTACAATTTTTAAATCGATTCACTAAAGCGTTCACGAATTATAAGGATTTTTATTTGCACCGAATTAACATGAATTATAGATAACCACGTCGATTCAAATGATAAAAACACATGGAAATAATATTCAGAATTTATTTAAAATTTGCAAAAGTTTAAATACAGAGGAAATATTTGGTCAAATAATATTATACAAGTATTAACTGGTTAAAAAGATATTAAATATAATTCAATCAAGTTTGTCATGTATCTATTACAAGGCGAAATTCTCTGCCAAAAGTTAATCATTTCGATTAATAAAATTCGGAATATTTCAGTAAAAACGCAATAAATATTAAAAAATACATCTCTGTAGCTAAGATCAAATTGTAATATTCCACACAATTTCTCATACTCAAAATACACCAAAAGTGGATTCATCAATATTGATTTTCAGCTACTTTTTGCTGGGATTGTACATATAAAACATCCTTAAATAATATATTTATACAATTAGGGAAAATGTGTGATTTTCTTTTTTTCTCTACGTCACATACAAATATACGATTATTATTATTCTATCTAGACTATTGTTATATTTATACAAGTTAAGGATGAAATTTCTTTCGACTTTGATATACTCGAAGAATCGATTAAATCGTATTTGAATGACAGAGAACCATTTCTCGCTGTTTCGATCCTTTGCGACTTGCCAAGGGAATAACTGCGAATCAAAGTTAATTGAATTAGTTGGTGCTTTCTCGCAACGAAAGAAAGTCCTTCCCTTTATGACATTTCCGCGATTTAAAGGAAAGATAATAAAATTGCTCGCGTAATAATAAATACAGTTTGTAGATAAAACACATTTTACGAAACACACTCTGTATACTTTACATAAAATTCTATTTGTATGCGTCTGACTGCATTCTACAGTCTTCGAGCATTTTCCACTTTTAATTTTCCAGAAATTTTGTGTCGCAAATATCTCTCTCTTTTCAGGAAACATTCGCAAGAGAATGGAAGTAAAACTCGCGAAGCACTCCACGCGTTTTGTGCATTCTACCGTAATTCTTCCTTATATTTTTGATCAAGTATCTAGCAATTGTATCGAGGAATTTACCTAACAGTTAACTTCCACGTTCGCGAGATCAGCAAAGAGGGGCTTCTCGATACTCGCCCACTCGATCTCGAGTCTTTGTAAGTCGCGCTGTAAGTCGAAAATGAAGATACCAGAGGCTGCCGCTTGCTTTTACCTTCGTCTGAAGAGGCAGGAATAAGAGGCCGTAGAGTCTCGGAACACGCTCGAGGAGTCGGAAGAGTCTCGGGTCCCGAGGAACTTTAAGGAACAATTGCGCACTACACACCGCAATTCTTTCAGTCGTTGTATATTCGCTCGCGTTGTATATTCGCAACACTCAATACCGCCAAGTTTATTATTAGATTAGGTCTTACAAGAGTTCCTACTACGTTCTCTCTCTTCGCCGGTATTTATGAAATGAAAACAGCGCGACTTGGAATTGCTCTCTGTAACTCGGTACAAAGTAAAAGTACAATCGAGGCAACTGCTAATTTTTATCCTTTTCTTCCATTGTTATCTTTACTCTATTAATCATATCATCGGCTAAATGGCTCTAACACGCCTCGTAAACAAGTGATTGGCCGTCTCTGGAAATGTACAAAACCCATCCGATCGGAAGCCCGTGTTCTCTCGGTCGATGAAAAGATTGGCGGAAATTCTCGTTCTTGAGGCTTTGTGCCGCGTCTCGTAAGTCGAGGACGAAGATGCCGTTCCAACCGTAGAAAGAGGGACCTCAATCCCGTTCGAATCCGATTCGAATAACCTTTCAGCAACGTTTCTCTTTCTCATCTCTTCCTCCCCGTCCCTTTGTTCGCGCGCCGTCCTCTTGTTTCCCGGTAATTAAACGCGGGGATCGATGTTAATTAAATTATCCCTATGTGTTTGACGCGTCATGTGACAGTTCCCCGACAACGAGAGATACGCCACGTCATATATAATCGATATAGTTGCCCGATCATTCGTTAGTCGCACACCGTCACGTCTAATCGTGCAACTATGTACTACATATATTGACGCAAAATTATTACAAAGTGTACATTTCCACTTCACCGTTATTTGGTTACAACATCGTAGAATTTTTCCGGGATTTTTGCGAGAGATTTCGAATTGATCCATTAAGGAAAAATTGTAAAAGTGGCGGGATAACAAGATGATCTGTCGATAATCGTTTCCACTTGATCGCGCGCATTAATAATACAGAAGAGAATTCAAAATATCTCGGGATTTCAAGCATTTTTTAACTTTATACGACATTTCGACTGTCCCACCCAAATGTATTATTCCTTTGCTGATAACAGTCATAACAGTTAAAATGACGATTCGCCATTTCGAATGGATGCTCTCAGCGCCGTTTAGCTCTTCCAGCCTCTTTCGCCTCGCTTTCATTCCGTTACCGGGAAGTATTTCTTCCCATTTCGCCTCCGTCGGGAGTGAAATTTCTTTCTCCAAATGGCGGGAACAATTAACGAAATAGCGCTCGAATCGGCACGACCACTAAATTTAATCGCGACATTATCGTTACGATTTTAACGTGACCATTGAAGACGTCACTCACTCCGTTTTTTAAGGATCTCTTGAAAGGGCTTACTTAATCCTACTATTTTCTGGGACGAACGGATCATCTACTTACATATATCGTTGATGTAAAACGGAGAAGAATCGCAGGATGTCTGAGAAAGCGAGTGAATCAAATATTAAATTCTTTCATCCGCGAAGAAAAACTGTTGAAAAGTCCCTTCGTCCTACGACTCGTCCGTTTCTCTCTTTTTTTTTTTTCATTTTTCAGTTCTCATTTCCATTTCGAGCGGCGGGAGAAGAAGCGCATTTCAACGTTTCGCATTCGATATTTACTGCTTGGCCGCGAGACGCAATTTTACAAGAACTCTCCTTTAAAGGCGCTCCTTTAAGGGCGCTTTTTTAAGAGCGCTCCTTCGCGCGCGCAAAGCGAATGCCGGCGGTTTACCAGCGAGCTATTCGGATATTTCCATTTCTCTTTCTCTCCTTCCTCTCTCCTTCCCCAAACTCGACAATTCACATCCTCGATGAAAATGTTGCCGACTAAACGAGCTCGCGATTCCGAGGGCGAGCGCGAAGAAGTGGAAGAAACGAACGAACGAACCTTCTAGTGTCGCTGTCGTTTTTTCCTACCTTTTCGCGTTTTTTTCCTGCGCGATTCTTGCCGCACCAGATTTCTCATTTACGTGAAGTTTACGCAGTATCAGGTATACCAAGGAGAAAAAACTCGACGATAATTTGCAAGCACGTTGAAAGGAACGTGACGCGATAAAATGTATATCTAATCGTAATATTGATTTATAAACTTACGATTAATATGTAGGATAATTTTCTAGATTGCAGAAAATTATTATATAGTATCCCCATAATTAGTTTATATAACGTATATATTTTCTACGTTTTATTCAGAATTCGATTTTTAATAATAAATAATTAATAGTATTGCAGTTAAAGCAAAACTAGAATAAATAAAAATAATTGGTTGTAAAACACGATATTACATGAATCGTCGAATGATTTATCAAGATCATTGGTTTAATTTATATAACGTATATATTTTTATTCGGAATTCGATTTAATAATAAATAATTAAAAGTATTGCAGTGAAAGTAAAATTAGAATAAATAAAAATAATTGGTTGTGATACACACGATATTGCATGAATCGTCGAATGATTTGTCAAGATCATTGATTTAGTTTATATAACGTACATATTTTTATTCAGAATTCGATATTTAATAATAAATAATTAAAAGCATTGCAGTTGAAGCAAAACTAGAATAAATAAAAATAATTGCTTGTGATACACATGATATTACATGAATCATCGAATGGTTTGTCAAGATCATATCCGCATCGTTTGCGTTTTCTATCGAAACATTGCAGTAGCGATTTTAAAGATGCGGGAAAAAATTGCACGCGCGGTTACGACGGGGAGGTCAGTCGATATTGGATTCGAAACGTCCGAGATCGGCAATATCCTTCAGGCCTTTGCATTCCTCGATGGTGAAAGGCCTCTGTGCCCGGATAAAGCCACGAAGAAGCGAAAGGTTTTTGCATGCGACGCCGCGCAAGCTCGCTCGATATTCCGATATCCTGATATCGGGAGTGTTTCTCCTCACGACGTCCTCGCCTCCTCCTGGGATACACATCCTCTCTTCATGGAATTTATTATCCGCCCTCAACCTGCGCTCTCGCCACATCGAGAACTCCCCGGAGATCACCTTACCGGGGATTCGGCAGTTTCCACGATGGCTATGTTTTATCGTGGGACTCTAGACAGAGGGAAAATCCTGATCCAGCTAGGAAGTCTAATAGTTCTTTCGCTTGCGGGGAAACCCACGAGAGACTAGATTCCGTAATCGGTTGTCATCGGTCATAGTGGAATTGATAAAAAAAACTTACGCGAATAGAAATGCGCATTTTTCGAAACAACGCGTTGCGAGTCATTAAGAATGAGATTGTTTGAGATTTATTGCTCTTGTGAATTAATTTTTGTTGAATTTATTGCATAAATTTCAGTGAACATTTCATAAATTATTTCCATTTCTTTTTGCGTTTTGTCTAATCGTTTATTACGTCATAATTCAAAATTAAGTAATTCATTAGTTTATTTATCTTATTGTTGCAGATTTGCCTTTCGATATTATCTGCAAGCTGATGTATCTTGGCGACGGTGGATTCAGCTCCGCATCGGCTCGATCGAAGTACCGCAGTCTCCCTTCAACGACGGTGAAGGGTCAGTGCGCGTGACTAGTGGGTTAGCGAAAAATGCGATAGAAACGAAGGAGTACGTAAGATCGTGCTGTAAGAAGAAGAAGAAGAAGAGGTACAAGAAGAAGGGAAACGAGAGGGAGTTTATCGCCGAATGAAAGAGCATCATGTACTCAATCGTACCAGCTTGGTGGCGGTGGGCTACCCTTTTCGGGACGATGTTGCTGTTGTTGCTATCTTGGGGCGCGGGTGCAGCAGAGGGCTGCCCGAGTATGTGTGCATGCAAGTGGAAAGGCGGGAAAGAGTGGGTAGAGTGCGCGAATCGTAGTCTCAAGGGATTACCGCAGGGTGCCCGCGAGGAAACACAAGTGCTCGACCTTTCTGACAATCAGTTGGTCAAGCTACCGGCGGAATGTTTCTTGGTACTCGGCTTAATTAACCTCCAACGGCTCTATTTGGGTAGATCTCACATTGTCGAGATTGCCTCTCAGGCGTTTGTTGGACTGGTCGGCCTGGTAGAATTGGATCTGTCCGAAAATAAAATCAAAGAGGTGCCCACGGATACGTTCGCATCTTGTACAAGTCTAATGAGACTTACGTTAAGCGGAAATCCGATTAAAGAGATTCGCCAAGATGCGTTTCGTCGTCTGATGCACCTGACTTATCTGGAAATTAGCAAATGTGAAATAAAAGTCATCGAGCAAGGCGCTTTTGAAGGTCTTCAGTCACTAGAGTGGCTTCGTCTGGACGGCAATCGACTTGTTTACGTGCCTGATCGCACATTGCCGCTAGGGGGAAATCTCAGGGGACTGACTCTTCATAACAATCCGTGGCAATGCAACTGCAAGTTGAGAATAATGCAGGCTTGGCTTAAGGAATCAGCTCCGGTAGCTCCGCAGGAATCTGAACCAGTCTGCGAGTCTCCGGAGAGACTGCACGGTAGACAAATCAAGAGCCTCAAGATCAACGAACTGGCTTGTCTGCCTCGCATCGATCTTCAAAATCGTTTAGAGATTTATGAAGGCGGGAATGTTAGTCTGACATGCAATGTTCACGCGATACCTACTGCCAAAGTCATCTGGTTGTTTAACGGAGAACCATGCGAATTGCAGAATGAGAATGATTCTGTAACCAATGGGATTTCCGCGTTTCCAAGGTAAGTGACTTTTATATTTTGGATCTTTAATTCGAATCTCTGTTTATATCTATCCCGTCTCGAATCGTATTCTCTCAAATTGATTGCAGATATATTTATCGACAACGAGGCGGGACCAACATGAGCAGCACGTTGTTTCTTTACTCGGTCGAATCGTTCGATGAAGGTACTTATAGTTGCATTGCGGAGAACAGTGCAGGTTCTACGGTGGCGAACCTCTCTCTCTTCGTGCTCTTTCGTGAAAAATCCACCGTGGAGCCGCCCTTCGACAATCCTGGTTCCGGCTACGTGGCTGCGATAGCGGCGGGCGCCCTAGTAGGCACTCTCTTGGCATTGGGATGTCTGATAGGTAGTGTAATATATTGCGCAAAGAAACGACGTCGCGACCGGAAACGCAACTCAAAGGCCCTGGTGACTCAAAGCAAATCAGTGTTGCCGATCACAAAAGATACCACTAGCGGCTCTTGTCGAAAAGGTAACGGCAGTCTGATCGGCTTAGAGCATCAGCAGATGGTGTCATATACCGAACGTGAAATCAACCGAGCAGCTACTTTGGAGCATCGGGAACACTCTAGGAACGCGTATCCGATGGCAAGTCCGGTCGCTAAGTACCTGACCGAGCCAGATTTGATTAATGAGGTGCCTGAAAGCACCGAAGTGGGTTATGGTCAACTATACGGACGGCATCACCAGCGAGTCGGTGCCGATCGACAAATCTTGGAATACGACTCGGGCTATCCGCTGCAGCCCGATCTACGACCGCCGCCAGTTTTACCGCAGATGAGTTACCTAGATCAGGACGGCTATCCGCTGAACTTTGGTCTGCCTAAGATCTCTTTCAGCACCGCTAGCACTTTGCCTAGGCTTCGGCAACGAATGACGGAGCCTGGCTCGGCGGCTGCGCCAGCGGCCAGGTATTCGCGCGAGGCAGAATTTCTCGCGAGGTCACCGGGATATGACCCTGTTTTACCACGAACCGATGCCAGGTACACCGCAGAGGGCTATCCCTTTCCGGTGCATCAACAGCAACAACCATTGTTGCAATCAACAATGCAGCCGCCGTCTCTACCGATTCAGCCGGTCGAGCAACCAATTCAGCAACAGCTACCCATTCAATCGCCAGTTTCACCAGTCTTCCCGGAAGTACCCTTTATACCGTCACCTCCGGCGGCTTACAGGGGTGAAACCACCCCTTTATCGCCGAGATCCCTTCTCGGAAAGACTGCTCGCGAGGCCGCGGCTGCCGCTGCCGCGAGGGCGGAGGAGCTGCAACCACCAAATCATCCGGAAAGCCCTGACGAGGGTTACGTGGGAGACGCTATGGACGTTTGAAAAATTGCCAATGACGATAAGGGAAATAATCGTCAGTTCTGAAAAGCGTGGAAGATACGTTTCTGGTCTATCGTTGAATAAGATTGACGTTCACTTTTTGTAATTCTATCCAACCTTCGTTTTCTATGAATCTATACTGAAGAAAAAAATTGACTGGATCGATTTCTCTGCAAAAAGTCTACTGCCGTTTAACTTACTCGAAAATGAAAAGATAGAAAAAGATAGTATTTTGTACGATTATGTATTTTCTTATTCAAAGAAATAATCATTTATTGACTGATTCTTGCCAAGAAAAATTTCTACTTTGGAATAATAAATTAATTTTAACGATTAATGATTACGCACAAATATATTTGATTATTTTTTCTTTCTTTCTATCTTGATCATTTTACTTATAAGGAAATTAATTTGAGAACAAAACTATTAATTTTTATTAATTTGCAAATTAATAAAATAAATTGACATAGAATTTCACAAATTTTCATATATATCGATGAAACATTCATTACGGTTTAAGAAAGAAGATATCTCTTCTCAATCTTTTTGCTCAACATATTGATTCAACAGCCAGAATAACGAAATACTTTTCATATTTCATAAACTTTTACAATCTCCTTCCACGCAAGTCAAACGTCAAGCATGAAGATTTTAACGAAGCTACGAACAATACGAATTACCGACATCAAGGAGGAAATCTGTCCTCGTCACGCTACCAGATTAATTCGCGGAGGATAACAGGGTCCAGGATGTGATTGGCGGAACATGGCCGCCAGAGACGGCGCGAACAAAGGATTCGTCCTGAGGGTAGAGACGTAATAGATTAATCAGAAGGCATGTCACGAATGTCGTCGCGGTGCACAATCCTCGTCAGTCAGGAAGGATGACGAAGGAGGTGTTCGCTCTAGGATATGGCAATCCTCGAATTCGAGGGAAATCGACTCCGAAAAATTTACGAATCGCGTTTAAATGCAGAGAGTGCTTTTTCGGACATCAAAATGGCGGCCGGATTTATTTAAACGGCTTGTCGCGTTTGTGAAATACGGCGTCGTTCTTTGGACGCGCTCCAAGGAGAAACGTTCGGTCGTGTTGAAAAGGAACCAAGATGGCGTGACTGATCTTTAAAGTGATAGATAAATGTTTGGCGGACTCGATGGAGTGAAACGCGTCTCGGACCTCGAAGGCGCGCTTTTAGCGTTGCACGAGCAGAAACGTGACTGGTGCTCAAAGCGGCAGCTCCGATGGGACCCGCTGAGAAAATGTGAAATTAATTAAATTTAATTGTTCATGTCGATCCCGTAACCGTTAAAATCTGCGATGAATCGGTAATTGCGAGATGAGCGAATCGAGAAAATATAATGGTAAGAAGAGAGGATTGTCCTTAATAGTAAATATCACATATATTTCATGAAATATTTACATTATGAGTTTCAATGTATGCATGTTTTGCAATTCCTATAAAATTGTTTTGCGAAATCTTAAACAGCTTTTTATCATATCGAAAAGATAAACGATCGAAACTTGTATAATTTTTCATTTTTTAGATGACAAAAACGATTCGTATGCTTCAATCATTCTTAGATTACTTTGATATTATTTGTGATCGTTAATAGCGCTATACGCACTTTATATATATGGGATGCTTGTGATTCAGAAATCTGCTCAAGCCACTCTCGCATCCTTCGACAGTACTTTGTTTTAAATCTATGAATATTATTTATTTCGATTGCGTGAGGTGATTCTCGATCTTGGCGTTTCAAGCGGAGACGCAATTGTAGCGATTCTGCTGTAGTGATAATAATGTTAACTTGGTGTTTAAGACTGGTGAACTGTGCGAGATTAGGAGGCCGCAGTGGCGCTCGACCTGATGTACAGATACCGTTGAACGTACAGGGTGTATTCTGAAAAAATGATATATACCAGGATCGAGTCAGTGAGAAATTTATGCATCTAATTTATTAATATTACGAATCTTTTTTTTTTTCTTTTAAAAAAGTAAATTAGAACTTGAGGATTAAAAATTTTAATGTAACGTACTTTAATTTACTATCGTGAATTTTATTTCTCAAAATTTTTTTAATTTATCTAAAATTTATTTATTTTCATTTTACATTGTTTTTTTCCGTTGCAAAATTAAGTTTACATTCTATCGAAGAAAATCTTGCAGATTAATCTCACAGCTCCTGGGAATAGTATACGGTTTTTTTGAGACGCCCTGTATACCTATATACATATGCGTATATATATAAATATATATACACACAACACACAGATAAATATATACATATTATATGGCGCGACTAAAACACTAAGGAACGAAAACTGGTGAAAGTAGTTATTTTTTAAAGGTGTCTTCGAAATTTTGCGATTCGAGCTGGCTTCGCTCTCCCAAATAATCGACTTACGATTAATAAAAATTGTGTATAATGAAAATGATTGACGTTATTTCTGCACGAGAAAAAAAGCCGAGTCAATAACCTTTGTAAAATTTGTAAATTACAACGATGCTTTATAAAATGCTGATGGGTTAATGACAAATGATCATACGCATCCGAGAAAGAGCGTCAGGGATCCTTTCAGAAGTACTCGAGGACGAGGAAACTGGTTTCCTTTCCGTCGTCGTAATCACGATGCGATTCACGGATGAACAGTGTTTGCCTTCCAGTCTAGCGATTTGCAGGATATAGAATCCTGCCTGCGTCCTTTAAGTTTCGTCGTTGAGATAACTCGAAATTTGCGTCTTTGCTTTCGAAAGTTTCGTATATAACAATATTTCATTCGAGACAACGTACTAATTTATTTACCCTTCGCGAAATTTCAAGCGAAGAGAATGTACAAAAAGAAGAGAGATCTCTAGAGGTCAAAATTATTCGTTTTTAATTAATTAATTAATTAATTGTTGTTTTAAACTAAATTAAAAATTAGTGTTTTTTTAAGCGAATCAAATTAAGTAAAAAAAAGGAGATAATATGAAATTAAAATTATTACTTTTGCAATTAAACAAATATTTTTATTAAATAAAAAAAACCTATCATGCAAACATTTTTTTAAGGGAAGGCAATTATACAATTTCTGTTAAAAATAATAATCGAGTTACATTTAAATTTGATTGTATAATATTTCGGAGTTGGTTAACTTTTGAAACTCTATATATCGAATTTTAGAAGCAAACGCAATTTTACGCAATGACGAAATCCTGCAAAGGTAGTTTCGCATTCGTCGTTTAATTAGAACTTTTTAAACGAGCTTGCTAACGAGGATAACTTCGACGCGTGGTCAATTTTACGAATTTCAATTAATCATCTATGAATGGGCAGGCCATGAATTAGGCCGTGTTTTTGACAAAAATGCAGTAATGTGGCAATCGTACTAAAACCTTCAATTTAATTATATTCGCATTCAATGAAAATTGATCAAGTTTCTATCGACAGCGAAAAATATTACACATATATGTACATATATTGCGTTATATTTTTTATCTGATTTATCAGCTTTTTATATCTTTTATTTAATTTCTCTCTTTACATCTCATAAATGCGTACTTCATATATTCTTTGTTCTTTTGTAAGATGAATGGAAAAACGTTAAATATCGCGTTTTAAGTGCTAAGTATTTTAGAAATTAAATAATTAAAAGCATACGCCGTTAATCACCATTTCCTGAAAGAACCTTCTTAAAGAACCTTCTTTAAAAGACTTTGTGTGTCTGTGGTTTGAATAAATAATATTGTTAAATCTAATTAAATTTTGCAAGAAAATGTAAATGCTTTTTTTTTAGGGAAGAGCTTTTTTATGAAAGTAATGATTCCATTTAACAGTTTAAAATTTAATAGAAAAGAAACAAAACGAATTTTCTTTAAATAGAACCAATTTTTTGATATCACATTTTTCATAGGCGAAATTTTTCATAGATCTCTCTAGATGTGCTTCATGCATATTTATTCGTGTCGATTAAAATCCGGAGAAAGAAAAATAAAAATGCAACACAATCGGAAACAATTTTTCTCCCGGGGAAAAAAATCTAAACTAGCAAGTTTTTGACTCTTTTTTCCGTTTTCACTTGGACGTTTTCACTTTGTTCTTTCGAATCGTTTTTTCGTAGATAAAAATTTATCATCGCAATCTGTCGCTTCCTTCATACGTATTTATTTATTTTCGTCGAATTGACGGAGCAAGCGCGGGAACAAGAAAAACAGCAGCAAAAGTTTAACGATCTTGCTCGCAGGCGGTATTGCATTTCGCTCGTTTGCGGCCCGTCCGAATTAAATGGATCTCTCTTTTTCCATCGATCCTTTTTTACTTCTCATTTGTCCCTTTACGTGTCTCGCGCGCGCGCTAATTATAACCGCCGAGCCCGCGGCTTGTTTAGTAACGATCTCTTACTTTTTGCGAAAATGTATCGGAAAGTTTGCCCAGATTTTCCATGCGAGAATCCGCGAAGACACATTTTACGAGAAATGTATTTCACAAAAACGATTACACAAAGAGAAAGAATCGTCTCTCCTTTCGTAGAGATTTTGCAGAAATTATATCCTAATCTTCTTCGACTTTTAATATTTTCAATGTCTATATGCAACCGGGGAATATTCATTTCCCACAGAAACAAAATTTTGCCCCGTTAAATCGGTCGAATTAAATTTCGCAAGGAAATCATACGCGCGGAATTTCATCGTATAAAGGCTTAACGTTCCGAGATCGGTCGTGAATATTAATCGGCTTTCTCCTCTATTCGCCGACTCGCGCGGTGAAACATTCACGCCGTGGAAAATCTCGCGAGGGTGGGTGGGTAGAGGGGGAGGGGGGGAGGACTCGTCCTATTAACTTCCTTCGCATTCGCAATGCGCTACGATGCTTTCCGGTAAATGTAATCACACGTCGATGCATTAATCAGCCGTCCGACGAAACTCCCGTAATTCCATCCGTCGGATGCACGTCAAAAGTTAAGGGTAGCAACAGCGAAACGGCAGACTTTACCATCTATTAAATGGAAAACATCCCTCCGGGATCTTCTCCATTCGCGAGAATTGTTGTATACGTTTAATTCCTTTCCGATATATATTTAAATATTTTACATTTTAGATCTCTTGTAGTAGATTTGGAAAATATTTAAAACATTTAGAAGGATCGATCGTTATTTCTAAACAATATAGAGCGCAAATAGTCAGTCGATTTTGCTTTCATTCGTCCTTACTCTTATATTGAGCATCTTGGAAGAATAATATTTCCTTTCTCCTTCTCTTCTTTGTAACAAGTTGCTAAGT